CTTTCCCTCTCCTTTGTACTCCCATCTCATCCCCCAGTACAAAAGCACTGAAGACCAGCTCATGGGAAATCCATGACAGTTCAGAGCACTCAGTGTCTGGCATGGCCAGATTCTGTCTGTTTATATCATTTGATGTGAAATGGTGTTGCTGATAATTCAACAAAATGTTTTATTGCTTCTGTTCTACAACTAACCAAGGTTTCTGTTTCCTTCTTCTCCAGGTGATAGAAACACTTTCAAAACTTTCTCGCACTCCTATTGCAATTGGCACAGGAATAAGGTAGGTTATTGCCCTAGTGAATGGTGGGAATAGTGCCTCTTGCGTGATGCTCCTTGGAAAAGTTGTTACAGGCAGTATAGGCAGTGTCCACCTGTAAGAACTTCTCAGGTTTTAAACTGGATTATCCAGTGGACAGCTAACTAAGGCTCTGGACCTCTGAGGAGTTCTGAAGGCTATCTTCTACCTCTGGTACGTTTACTGAAGTGCCTGAACTGCATTTATTTCTCATGCAGAAACATGAGCTGAACACGTGAGCAGTCAATATTATGGAACTTGTGTGATAATTGTGACACATGGATTCTAAGTTAGGCTGATGCAGTGCTGATCTGTGTAAAGGAAATTGGGTTTTTTCTTTCTTGCTTCTAAAAACAATCAAAACTGCCAAGTTTGTGAGAGTCTCATTTCAAAAAAGATACCAAAAAACCTCAAGAAAACCTAATCTCATGAACTATAATTTTGGGCTGTGAAAGAATGTGGAAGACATTATGCTTTGGTGCTCTTGATCTTTTTGAATTGTTTGATTCGGCAGTCTTATCATATATGAATGGAAGTTTTTAAAACATAGACAAAATTCCCTGGCCTGTCTTGTAATCCATGTCTTGTGCTTAAAAAAAGTGTAGTTACTATTCTTAGTTGAAAAACTGACAGCGATGTGGATCAGTAGTGATTTATAACAACCCCATCCAGTAGGGTTTTTTATTATATTAAGTATCAATTCCCATACAGAAATCTAAATGTGTATACTCTTCATCAGAAAAAGAAGGGAACATAGAAACACATTAACGTGCAATCCGTGAAAATTTTAGAAACCAAAGAGAACCCACCATGTGACTAGTCTAGTCCTGTCTATAATTAATGCTATTTTTCTTTCTATAGGCCATTCCCTACAGAAGAAAGCGTTGATGATGAAGACGTCTACAAATGTCTTCCTGATTTAATAGAGTATGTTGTAAATCTTTAGTTAAATTAAAGATTTTGGCTTTCAGTTGTGTGCTATTAGTTATATGATGTTACAGAACACAGTTTTAATGAGAATGGGATATTTATTTGATTTATTAACCATTATGCTGACCAGGAAGAGATCTTATCTGAACGATTGTAATACATTTATATACATAAGGAAACATGTTTCATAGAGGGTGCTGGTAGCAAAGTAAACATGAATGCATTTTTAAATTATCTGTTTGTACTATGAGAATGCTTTCATAAAACTGCAATATTAGTTGTAAGGGACCCAAGGAAGTTATCTTGAACTTGCAAAGAAAATGCATGTTTGGTTTGTAATTCAAGTGTATCATTTCCCAAAATTCAATGTAATTCTTTGTATGAGTGCATTTACCTCTCTAAGTAAGTGTTTGTAGGATTATTAATTATTGCCAGTTTTCACATTGGCTTTGAGGTATGAATAAGAGAGACATTAACATACTGTATAGTATTGAATGGTAGACTGCAGCTTTATTTTGCAGACTAGTGCGATAAATACATCTGAGCATAAAATATCATCAGCAAGAACTACTCTTGTATCCTCTGGCTAGGATCTCTCAAGATCCATGAGGAATCGTGTTGGACAAGAGCTGGGATCGGAGCTCCTGTTCCAAAGCTCAAAGTCTGGCAGTTTCATAGGTAGCTGCTTTTCTCTCTGTGTAGCTGAACTTGCAGAAGACAGGAGTTGCAGGCACCTCCGAGATGCAAGTGTGCGAGAAGTGATGTCCTCATCTCTTAGATGTGGTGGCATTAGTGCTGTTTGAAGAGAGTATTTCTATCAGTTCTTCAATAGAGATACAAATTAAGTACTGGAAGACAGTCCTTCATTTAAAAAAATAAAGCTAACAGATCATACTGAAGAAACTGAGATTTGTAGCTTTTCCTTTGCATCAAATTACAAATGTTATTCATTGAAATTTGATACTTACATTCTCTTCATAAGAATCAAAAGTGCCAGTGAATGGTGCAAATGGCTCACATATTTTAGTTTCTCTTCATTAGGAAGTGTGTGACTAAAATTAACTTAATTGTCCCTGACTTTAAATGGTGTCTAAGGAATTGAGAATGAATTTAAGGCTTTCTGTCAGAACTACAGTTGTTAGTTGCTATCCTTACTCTGCCTTTTTGCTAGCTTTTGTTTCTTGGAGTATAGGTAAAATGGAGTGTGTCTGTGTTGCATCTGACACAGCTGCTACTGTTTGATGTGAAATGCTAGCACACCATCATCGCTGGTGCAAGCTGAGATGTTAGACTAACCCGGAGCAGCTGGGCTTTCTGTTATCTGTTGCAAAAGGAACACATGCGAGCAATTTATTTCCTCTGTTGAATCCCTCAAATATATTTTTTTAGTCATTCCACCTATTGAAACTTCTTATGATTGCTTACTTGATCCTTCTGATGCTTTTGATTTAAAATTAAACCAAACCAAACATATTTAATGAGAATAAAAAATTCACTTGGTTTCTCTGTATGGTCCTGACTGTAGACACTGTGATTTAGCCTGGCATTTCCAAGTAGTTCATGTGGCAGCTGTGTTGGTAGCAATTCTCATTCATTTTGATTTCTTTGAAATTATACGCCCCTACCAGTAGAACTTCTGATGTCCTGTTCTTGAGTACTGACAATTCACCTACAGAGTTTGTTGTCCTTCCTAGTTCTAGTGGACCAATCTTCAATTTGTTTTTTACTCGGAAGAATTTCGGTGTTGTTTTCCAACAGCAAAAATCTCAAAATTATCAGCACATCTGATCAAGTCTCTGTATTATTATGACTGGACTACCTTCAATATCTTGTAGAGTTCTTTTGTAGACATACCCTAAGGAATGTGGGTGAAAGAAATTATGGGCTTGATATGGTCCTAGTGCAAAGTAGGCGAAACTTCACCTGGACTGACTCTAATGAAGCTGAATTATCTGAGGGTAGAATTGAGCACTGACTTCATGCTGAGGTATTCCTATAGTCTGGGTAATAGGAGGACACTTCTTGTGTATATTCTGTTTTGTTGAACTGTCTGATTTTCAGTTTGGAAGGCTGCTTCTTTCATTTTAGCTAAAGGTTGCCCTGAGGCGATCAAGATACTGGCTTATGGTGTGGAGGCACAAGCTGCTGCTGGCTCTGCAGTCTAGTGTATTTTACCTCAGATAGTCCTTTCTTTAGGCAGGAAGGAGACCTATCCCAGTATCTCATGTCCCAGTGTAGAGGAATGCCAGGCAGGAACAAGAGGCAGCTCCTTTTCATGGGATGTGGTGGGAAAAGGGATGAAGAGAAGAGAGCAGCTGGACAGTACCTCATGAGCTGCTTTTAGTGCCTGGTTTAGTTTCTGTGTGGTTCTAAATTCATGTGTTGTGCTGATTTCAAACAATTGTATTTTAAATGCATTGAGGAAAGAAAATGAATTAAGAAAATTAAAAAATTCATTCTGTCAATGAGTTCTTTGATTAGATAGTTCTAATAATTAATCTGTTTCTTTACTGCAAAAGTCTTTTCCTATAAGGAATGGTACCTTGCAGAGCTGATAATAATTTGCTTGTGCTTCACAGCTTGCCTTTTTTCTTTTTTGAAATTGTCTTTTCAGTGAAACTGGTGTTGATGAAGATGAAGACTTGTATGATTGTGTCTATGGAGAAGATGAAGGTGGGGAGGTTTATGAAGACCTAATGAAAGATGAAGCAGCACAGCAACCTGTATGTTTTCCAATTCCTAGCTATTTTCAAACAATAGCAGTTATATTTCTGCAAATTAATACTTGTGAAATAATCTCATTTTGTAGCTAGTTTCACTGAAACTTCTCTTGAGCTCAGTTGCAACCGGAGCTATTGCATGCAGTGTATTATCTCCTGTGTAAGACTTTGCAGGATGTTTGGGCAAAGGGTCAAATTTTTTGAGAAATATATCTTTAAAATTAAATATGATAATTACTTATTTTGTTAAGTTTGCTAGTTATGAATAGTAAGATTTACCTGCTACTTTAAGAGCCATTAAATTAATTGCTTACTTCAGTGTTCTGCTTCCAAACTTAAGTTATAATATTGAGAAACGCTGTTGTTTCAGCCATAATTTGGACAACTAATCTGACAAGGACCACTGGTCCATACCAGTGAAATTCCTGCTTATTCAACCGTGTAGTTTTTGATTGTTCATTAGGTTGGTCTTACCATCTGAGAATGAACCCTAATGTACTTGTCTGCCCTTCCTCAGAGATGTGCTTTCTCATCTGGAAAAGGGTACTCTGTGGCCATGACAGGAGATGTTTTTCAGGACAGGTGTTTTCTCCCTCTATATTGACATGAAGCTCTGTTACGCTGCTTCTTGTCTTAAGTTGGAAACTTGCCTCTACTTTTCCATATTGCTTTTTAGTAATAGAGTTATATAAAGAAATGAGAAATTATAGAGATTTTAATATTTTCCTTTGTGTTCTCTGCTTTTATGATGATTCCCCAAAATTATCATTGTCTTGTGTTTGGCAAGATTACTGCCTTGTTTCAGTCTCTGTTTTGAGTATAACAATATTGTTTTCAAGCCTGTTTTTCTGTTAATACAAAGTGCTGCAGGTAATCCATGTAAATCAAGGATGACATAAGCAGCAATTTGTTGGTTTTTGACATTTTGATTAATTTTGTTTACCTCCTGAAGTTTAGGCTATTCAATGAAAGCCAAATAAAAATTAGAGTTGCAAAAACAGTCTTATACCTAATGAAGTCATGTTCAGTTGCAGGCAGGATGTTTTTAAAAAAGTGTTTGAATCATGGGAAATCTTTACTATGATCTTGTTTTGAGTTTTTATTTTATACTGAAACTTAAAATGTGTTAAGTTTTGGGTTTCACATAATGGGCATGGGTGGCTTTTTTTTTTTTCCTTCAATGTAACAGTTGGTAAACTCTGGCAGTTGTTAGTGTGTAAACTTCCTCTGATGCTTTCTTTTCTGTTGCAAATGTCACTCAAATCCATGTTTCTAGCGAGTGATTAATACAGCAATTGGAACTTTCATGTTCTAATTTTAGTTGCATCTTAGCCTAGATACTTCAGATTGAGCAGACTTGTATTTGTTTCTCATAGAAAGTAAGTGAAAATTGAAAACATGGTATGGCAAAATATTTTTTCCACAACATGTAATGAATGGAGGCATTCAGATTGTTTTGCTGTGACAGTTTTCTTGAATGTGGTAATTATTTCTGGTTTGTGATAATGTCCTCTCAGGTTTATAAATACACTGCATGCTAACATAACAATTTTGCACAGATCTTTCATTTGAATCCTAAGGAAGAATTCCTTGCATATAAAACCAGTAGCACAGGACAATCTTCAAGTGGATTGTCAGAACCCAATACTTTCAGAGTCTCCGTTAGCAGCCAAAATGCTTTACAGCTCCCTCATCTTTGGTTTATGGTCATGATCTTGTGAAGTAAACTGTTCCACTAGATTTTCTCTAGCAGTAGTTGACCTTCAAAGGCAATTTTTCTTGTTTGTACTGGTATTTGCACATTTTTTAATTTCCTCTCCCCTTTTGTTTATTGCACTGAAATTATAGAAGTTTGTAGTGCAGATGGAAAATTGATACAATAATTTCTGCCAAAAGTGCCTATGTGAATGATCAGTTTGGGTTAGGTGAGCACAAAACTGAAGTGAATAGTTTTAAGTGGAATCCCTTGATTTTGCTTGCATTGCTTGTATGAAAGTTGGTGAACAACAATCCCTCATATTTTCAAATGGATATAAACCCCTATTGGGTACAACAACTTGTGTATTGGTGCAAATACTGCAAGCAGTTTGAACAGTATTAGGTTCATAAAGGTACAGGTGAAAAATAACTAAGAGCCTGGATAATGTCAACGTCTAATACTTTATTGAGATTAACTCTGGTTAACTGTGACAGTTTATGCTTGCTGCTTACAAGAGCTATCTCCGTGGTACCTCCACTGCTACCAGAAGAACCCCCAAAACCTTCACAGAAACACAATACAATGTCAAATTCTAATACTTTATTGAGATTAATTAACTGTGACAGTGTCCACTTGCACCTGCCAAAGAATTTGAGAATTAAGGATAGATTTTGAGATGAGGCTGATCATCAGGTAATGCTCGCAAATTAAAGTAAGTTTCTGCTGATAATGACAGACTATTTTTACAAAATGGTTACTTCTGTCTGCATCTGAGGATGGCAATTTAATGTTTTTTGTGGGAAAATTAATAACTGCACGAACTGAGTTTTGAAGAGTAATTTCTGAGGTAACACAGCACCTCGTAAGTGAGAGTCAGAAGCCATGTTCCAGTTGCAGGAGCTACTTGTAGAATCACATGGAGGCAAACAGAGAGAAGAGTAAAGGAGACACTTCAAAACAGCAAACAGAAATATGAGGAGCGACAAAGCTTCACGTGCCTGAATTATTTGCAACTTTGCATCTAGTTTAGGCCACAGGAATACATCTCCACTCTTCATAGGTGGCCACACAATATCATAGGTGCTGTGTGTGCTCATGGACAGTTTAGGGGTGGCTTGCTATTTGCTGTGGTATGCTTAGCAGGTGTGTCAAGTAGACTGAGAGCAGAGAGAGGGAGTGGAAGGAGTCCAGCCCTTGGACACACTCATGGCTAATTGTTAAAATTTCAGTTTATTAGTTTTGCTATTCCTGGAGGAGAAAAGTCTTTTGCTTAAAAGCTAGAAGTCTCTTTCTGAATGGAAAGGACTGTAGTACTAACTTTCTAGTCCTGACTCCCCCTGTATTTGAGTAACATCTGGTCATCATGTGGATTCTCAACACTGAGTGAAAAAAATGTAAGATAGAGTCAGGGATATGCTGAAGGATGCCTTGGAAGGATGTTACAAACTGATAAATAGGCTTCAGAAAGGATGTAGGATGTGACAGTACTATTGCTTATTAAGCCACTGCTTATTGCTGTTTTTCGAGAAAACTTTCTGGATCAATTATAGCTTTTAATTGCAAGAGCCTATGCAGTTACTGTGTCAGGTCTCCAAGGTGACCTATGTGTTTCCAGATGTTTTAAGTATTCCTTGACATGAATGCTTCTATACCTTCTTCCAGGTATTTGCTCTTTTATTTGAAATCGGATTTGCAAGTTATTGAAGGTGCAATGCTGTAAATCTGATCTTGAGTAAGAGTGCTTGTAAACTACTTATAGAGTCCTGTGCTGATAATTACTTCAATTTCCTATGAGTCTGGTGGTTTATGTGGAAAAATCCCACTGTCTCATTGTAGACACATGCATACATATGCAAGAGCTGAACTTGGAGGTCGCTGCACTTCCTGATACGAGGACATGCTCACATTGTGTCTGAAGACAAAGCTCCCCTTGAGAACTGAAAAGGAAAAACTGCAAATAAGTGCAGGGATTAGACTGAATCCAATATTTACAGCAACGCAAAGTTACTTACATGATTTAGCCCTATTAAGTTTAATGAAATTATTAACTGCTCAGTATTTTAAATAAGATTTCTCAGTCTGGCTGTAAATTAAATGTGACCTTGTATTTCAGCCTTCGAAGTAAATGCAGCGTTTTCAGCATTTTACGTCTAAACATTAACTTTTCATAATATTCCTTTGATGCTGAATTTTAGTAAAACTTTTCATCATCAGCTAATTGAACTGTAAAATATTCTTGGTTATTGCTGTCATCTTTGGAGGCTGCATTACTCGGAAAATTTCAGGAAGCAGTTATCCTAATTGCTTAATTCTAAACAAATAAATACATTTGTTGTCCATTAAGTGCCTGTTAATGACTTAAACTTGACTCCACTGTAATTGCAGAAATACACTGAAAATGACATAAGAAGCTGTTGTCTTGCTGAAATAAAGCAAACTGAAGAGAAATACACTGAAACTCTGGAATCAATAGAGAAAGTAAGATACTACTTACAGAATTGTGAATTATGTATTTTTATAGCAGTCTAGAAAATATGACAGTTGATGATATACTCATTTTTTTCCTTGCAGTTCTTCATGGTACCATTGAAAAGGTTTCTGTCGGCATCAGAATTTGATACTGTTTTCATCAACATTCCTGTAAGTAACTGCATGTTTAATGAACAGATTTAAGTTTCGTAGCTGGTTATGATGTAATTGTTGTGTGTTACTGCACAAAATGATTGTTTGAAATATGGTGCACAATGCTTTTATGTAGATATGAGGTTGGTTGATAAAAAAGGATGTGCACGCTATTTCACTTTTTTCTGCTTGAGGGAATAGGATAAGGTAAATAGCATTATCCTATCAGATAGTGAGTGGTTATAAACTGGAGTATCTTTGACCCATAGAAGCTAATAATTTATAGAAGGTGAGTTATGTTCTATGTGCTGGTATTTTAGTGATAGTGCAAAGTTGTATCTGTAAGGTTGTCCACCACTGTATGCTGAGTTGTGCTTTAATGAGGATTTCTATAGCTATTCTGCAGGTCCTTGTATCTACCCTGGCTCTGTCATCACCAAAGACATTTTCAAATTAAGATAAATCAAGCGGTTTTGGATTCAGAATCTGGTGTTGGAAAGGATAAGGAAATCCTCCGTGAAGTATCTAGAAGATCTCTTTATTTAACTGAAATCTTAAAGGTTTCTGTGGTTATTACTTTGCTGCATTTATTTTTGGCCTGATCAGAATAGTATGACAATTTACATATTTTTTTAGTTGGTGTAAGTATTCAGCAGATGTCTTTACTTTATCTGACTTTAAAGGAAGACATCAGACGTAGTCTGAAGTCTCTCTCAACACAGATAAATGAAAGAAATGTTTTTTATGAGGCACGCTGTAAAGAAAGGGCCCCCAGAGTGTGGCCTGCGGGCCACATCAAACCTTTATTGCCTGTAAAAGATCACGTCTCTTTTGGCTGTCTCTGGCATATCCCGCGGGCTCTCAAGGCTGTAGAAGGAGGTGTGGAGGATTTTTTTGTTCAGTGGGAACCTGGTCTGTAAGAATGCTGCTATTCCAGCACAATCCTGATGGAAGCTAAATTACGATGGTTATTATGCTGATGGATTACAGGATGATAACTGACACCTTGCCATAGTTGTCCTGCTATTAACATTTTCACCTTGGTTTTCAATTGCTGTAATTTCCTTCTCTTTGAGTATTGGTCCAAAATACTACCACAGATATCAGTAACCCGATTGTCTTCTTGAAGTATGTCAGCTGCCCATAGAGAGATACCTTTGTTTTTTAAAACAAATGTATATTCTGTCCTACATTAACATTTGTTATTCATTGCAAATAAGGCCCCGATGTGCCCTGCCTGAGTTACTGTACATCTCTTTCCTAAGGCTTTGTGTGCCCAGGCGTGTTGACTTGTGTGCATTGACAGACCTAAAGCCAGCCAACATGAAACACTGCACAGGGCTGTAAAGAGGGCTTACACGCTGTAAGCACGAACTGAGAGATCAGCTTACTTGCTAGTCATTACAGAAATGTAAGGGGATCAGACAAGAGGAGTAAAAAGAACAAAACCTGTTTATTTGAAACTAGGGAGACAAGTAGTAAACTGTTATATTTAGGTTGTTTTACTTTGCTCTTCATTATCAACATTTAGTACTCTGCTGTTACAAGATGGTGCTTATTTCTGACTCCAGTAACATTTCATGGCCATCCAAAAACATTAAAAGAAATATAGGGTTTGCCTAAGCCAAAAATATGTGCAAATGCTTTGTCTGCTCAGACCTTGTCTCTGCAGCAG